TCTACTGCACGACAATTTACAATGCTAGAAGTATCTATGTGCTTAGACAATTAATCAACATTTGTGATGGGTAAGGCTAGGTTAACTAAATAGAACCCTTTAATAATGAAATGAGAAAACGGTTCTTTAGCGTTATCGACAGTACGGTTGGGGTCTACGATAGCAACGACAAGGAAAATCGCGAGGCAAGCATGGTGGGTCCGTCCGTTAGTTTAGAAGCAATTTACCCACCGTATTCAGAGGTGAGTGCATAGTAAGACGGTCTTCCTCTTAAGTAACTACGGGCAGTTAGGCAGTGGGAGTGTTTCCAGGAGGAGGGGGCTACAGTCTGAAACACTGTATCGAAAAGTGAGGTAGTTGTACCGTGATGTTAATTTGTGGTGAATGGAATCGGGCGCAGCCGCGAGGTCAACGAATTAGCCAGTCGTCAAATGTTGGTGGCCACGGCGAAATCCAAGAATACCCGACACAGTTAGGCCTCATCCTAGAATCGCCCACGACTAGAAAGAGACGACAGCAAGGAACATCGCGCCCTCTTCAACGAAACTTATGCCGCGATATTTCACGTACTGCCAATAGTGGAGGATATGCGAGTTCCAGACAGCAGTTCAGAAGAAGAGGATACGACCACTGGAATAAGAGTTTTATTTTCCTGACGTTTCGGATTCCGTCGGGAATCCTCAATCATAGGCCATTGGGGCAATTAGTAAGTGGAACGTGAAGTGTCAAGCCAGTACTGCATCAATTAAGACCCAAGCTGTGGCTACAGAAGTGAGAAATTATCGCACGCACACGGATGACCACTATGAACTATAAATACCGTGCAACCTTGCATGTTCCAACCCTATCTGCGCACGACTATGACTATGCTACCATCACCCATGAATAAGGATTCCCGACGGAATCGGAAACGTCCGGAAAATAAAACTCTTGTTCCAGTGGTCGCATCCTTTTCTGAATTTCTCATACTTTCTTATCTCTGTTCTTCAAGACAGACACAAGGATGCTCGCACACCAGTCATCGGGAATGACACCATCTGCTTACGGCTGTTCAGTCATATCGAGAGGGGTCGCCAGAGTATCGACAAAAACCTTGTAAATGTTAATGGCTACACCGTTCTTTCCTGGCGCCATGTTATTGTACAGTCTCATTGAATTAACAACCTCTCCCTTAAAGGAGAATTGCATAATACGGTACAGGTTCCAGAGTATAAAGGTGGGATTGTGGGTTGAGCATCGAAGTTGACAAGGTGTCCGAAGTTCTTTCATCAGGTTAGCTAATTGTCGACAATAAAGCTGCAGTCCACACGGCGAACAGAGCCGGTGCGGAGAGGTTACCACTAACTTGTGGATAATTTTGTAGAATTTTCGAGTGTCAACGTGATGCAATGAGGTCACTGATTCTGCTAAATATTCCAGCCAGTCCTCTCTGGTCGACCTTGCCACCGTTTTCTGCAGTTGACGTACGGAAACTACGCGCTGACCTAGCTCAAGGCGTCTCGACGGGCAACGGCAAGGTTCTTCCACAGCTTCACTCGCTACAGCTCGGTTGGCTGAATCTAATAACTCTTTAAGCCGTCCACGGACGGATGACTACTACCTTCTCCGTCGGCTCGTATGGTAAAACTTGAACGGATTCCTGTGCTCAAAGCTTTGGATGTTCTGGGTTGTCTAGTTTTTGTGACATCATGGCTTCTTGTGCGTACTATTTTAGATGCGAATGAGACGTGAGCCTTCAGATGTGTGCAATCGATATCATGGCCTGATCCATGTGCGTTACCAGTTGTAGTGCCACACATAAATTTGCTATTACTAACGCAGCTATGGGATTTCGAGATGATTAGTGTGGTCTCTCTGACTGGCCGTATCACCGTCGTTTTAATATCAGGTAAGCATAGGTTTGTGACGAGGCTTAATGCGCGGACTTCGGACAAAGTCTTATAAAGTTAAATCCAAAGCGGCAATTAAGGTGACTGTTACCGGATCC